TCTCTCTCTCTCTCTCTCTCTCTCTCTCTCTCTCTCTCTCTCTCTGTCTCTCTCTCTCTCTCTCTCTCTCTCTCTTTTTTTCTTTCTCTCTCTCTCACGAGCTTCCATTGGACATGATAGTTCGACACGCTGGAATCAAGATCGTAAAAGCTTGCGCTGTACTCGAGCAAGTTTTCCCCGCGCAGCTTCTTGAATAGTGTGTCGGTATATGCCTGTTGTGCAAGACAATCTGATCCACCGTTGGCTGCCCGCACTTTTATACGAACTTGTTCCCTTGTGATCTCCAAAAACTTGCTCTTCAATAGACGCTTTGTCAATTTCCACTCACCAACGATGAACAAAGCCATGTGTCATTTCCCGTTTCACACGCAGGGCTCGAAAACTGTCGGGTGCCATAATATATGATGGCCCCATTGGTGGTCTTTTGTCTCAACCAATGTCCCAATGTGGCTCAGGAAGTGCGGGCCTCCGGTGAACTCCTTCATATCCTCCCGAATTGTATCCCGGCATCAATTTTTCGTCCTCTTTGGGGGGAAGTGTGAACTTTATAATGTTGCCGTCCATCCCGCCAGGTTGCGCATTCTCCTCTCGGGACAGATTACAGTGCTTGTCTCTTGGGAGCTTCGACAAGCCCATGCTTGCATATACAGTGTCCAGCTGAGTCAGTATCCCTGGATATTTTACAGTAGTTTCCTTGGCTTTTGATTGGAGCAGTGGTTCATTTCCTCTCGATGATGTCGCTTGTGGCTCCAACCCTTCATTGCTGCTATTCTTGCTCACATCACCTGCACAATCTTGGCCCTGGAGATCATTTGCTACACTCCGCTTCATTCTTGTGCAGTACAACCTCTCTTCCCCACCATGAATGCTCTCCCGACTTGGGACGACATTTGTTTCTGTCCACTTCATTGGCTGACGATCGTCAATGTCCTCCAATGTCTGTTGGACCTCTTCTTGAGCACCCAGCATCGGTTGATCTATATCATCATCTGTCGTTTCTTTCTCGCTGTCAAGTACATCGAAGTGCTCACCCGCATCCAGCTCGTCGGCGTATGGCTTGACGCACAATCTGTGTTCTTTTTTCTTGAACCATAATCGCTCACACCGACCTATGAATATTTCGATTGCACCATTTTTAGCCCCGTGGTACCCTTGGAGATGTTGGATGGCAAACACTTTCCGGTGCATGTAATCGATGTCCTTAGTGGTCGTTGGTGCATTACAAAACAAGTATCTCCACAATGATTCTCTCTTCTTGCCAAGCTTAAGATACATGTCTCTGTCTGGAAGGTGCAGCGTCTTGGGTCGTTCGAAGTGGCAACGACTTTCCGGCTTGTGGACTTGGATATCGAGGAATGTGGACATGTAATCGATGATTGTGGAACTGCCGTCACATGCAACAACATTGTGTCCTGACCGCAACACCTCCCACACTGACCCTGCCTGCACATTCCCGAGTAGCAAACACACCTTCGCCTTCCTTTGCAAACCATTTGCACAGGTCCTTCACTCTCTTCGGCTCTCTCTCCCACTGCCCATATATGGCTTTTGTGTCGCCTAATATCCCAACATGTTCATTTGTGTATTGCACGAACATATCTCTTTCATATTATCATTAAACCATGTGACATGGTTCGGAGGCTGCACAGTGACCTTCTTGAAGTCATTGTCGGCCGCATGCATGACAACGGTCATGCAGTCCCGAGCGCGCAATTGAAGATTGCCAATCGAAACAACATACTGGTCCTTACCGAAATGTCTCTCCCAACGACTTGTTACCACTTTCACATGATCCCACCGCAACACGTTCTTCAACACTGTTTGCTCCAATCTCAACGTTGAGAATATGATAATGACCCAATCTGTTCCACAAAACGTGTTCATCATCTCGGGAAGTTCAGCAAATCTCTCGTCTGACCAGTCTTGTGGCGTTGTGGACTTACGTGGGCAAATGTCGAGGACCGCAACGCGACAATTCAACTTTTTGACAGCACGTGTGATTTCCTCTGATGGTTGCAGTGCCTCATACGGTGCCAAGCAAATGGGAAGAAACGTTGTGTGATCCTTATGTCTATCCCACATTATGTGTCGCGCGTTCGCACTTATGCGCCGCAGCTCGTTCCTTAGTTGATCAATGGCACCGATCACTTCATGCATAAACACCTTCAGATAATATGGACACTCAGTATATTTCACGAGCGTCAATTTGTACCCTCCTACTTTCCCCACCTTTGGCTCATCGATGCCACCCAGACGTTTTGGCACATCTTTGGCCTTGTGAGCTGACACCTTCCTCTTATTTTCCTCCCATTGTTCATTTATAAGTCCCAAGGGGCCAAATCTCTTCATTATTTGTGAATAACCGCTGAAGAACGCATCATTCCACTCCTCCTCCTTGCGACCTTCCATCTTGAAAATAACATAATTGAAGAGGCGTATCATGTATCTCTCACGCCGAACTTCCACCCGAATATCATCCATGTTAAGCAAGTTCTTGTTGAACGTTCGACCTGTTGTGACAACCACCTGGCGGTCCAATATCTTATCTAACATCATCTCCTTTTCCCTGTCAGTCAAGTCGCCAAACACCTTCCATGCACTTTGCGGAGGATCTCTAATGCAGACGTAATACCCATTAGGCGATTTGTTCGATTGAACGTAGTACACAAGCTCCTTCTTGCCTTTTACTGTAAGCGCACATGGACCTGGACCTGCTATCGCGACTTGTTTTCCTTGCTGATCCACTGGAGGCACGCCTGTCTCGTCGGGCAATAGTCTTGCCTCCCTCTCCGCTCATGGTTTCTTTATCTGCTTCCGGCGATGCATGTTGCCAATCGCCTGAAGGCATCCCCATATCACTCCACAAGTCTCTTATATTCTTCACCGAAACTCGGAATGAATCCGGGATAGCTCGTGTCTCCCTTGTATTATCGAAAGTTGAAATATGAGCATAGCCATCTAGATTGTCGTCGTCGAAATAGAGAGCACGAACACGCCATGAATGCACACCCCATTTTTGTGCAGCGGGCGAATTGGCTGCAACCAGTCTACGACAAGCCTCTACCTTGTGCTGTCCGTCAATCGCATACCAGTGGTATGTGTGTGCGTGATCCGCGCGAAAACGCTCAGGTCTCACCCACGCCCACTGCTTTTCACCATCAACATTCACCTCCTCTACAGGGGCTAATATCCATGTGGCCCTGTCCCACTCTCCTTTCTTCTCTGGCAGCTCCATCGCTCTCATGATAGAAACGACCAACATGTCATTCAACGGTCTTTGATTGTACTGCACGCGCCTACCGACAGGGCAAGGCAAAACTCTCATGCAGTCGACGTATATCTCTTAAGGTCGTTCCACTGCATTTCCATCATCGCCGCATTCGAGGAAGAAACATGTTGTGGTGTCGAAGGTTGGCAACTGTAACTTTCCGGCTTTCACGGTGTCGTCTCTCGGATCAACCCCAACTCCTTTATCACCAGAGTCAGCGACCTCTTTTGTTCCTTCGACCCTAACTGTCTTCTTCGCCTTTTTGGTGTGTCGTTTCCGCTCCCGCTTGCCTTTTGCAGATTTCTCGGATTCCCTTTCTAAGTGTTGCACGAATGCATTGTGAGATGCGCCTAGGCCAAGCAACTCTGTCCGACTCTGCTCTCCTCCATCGTATCTCCCTGCCTCCATTTTTCTTTTGCGAGAGTTTGATGATGGTTGTGTGCCGATTCCGACGCCGTCCTCTTCTTTGTCCCCACTGCTGTCATCCCCTTCGCTCTCCTTCAAGTTACCCTTGTCTTTATTAACATGCCATCTTGCAGAGAATCCATCATCGGTTCGTGTGTTGTCTTCATACTCGCCCTCCTCCCCTTCTCCCTCGCCCTCCTCACTTTCGTCCTTACCCTGCTCCTCATCATCTTCACTCTCCTCCCTATCATCATCGCTCGAATTGCCTTCCCCCTCACCCTTCTCAGCTGACTGTTTGTCATCATCATCATCCCTGCCAATCCTTTCAGGAGAACGGATGCCAGACGACTGCACATCGCGGTTGTCACTTTCTGTTTTCTCTTCATTGTTGCCATCATTGTCACACGACAAAGCTGCGGCGGGAAGTCGCGACCGAGAACCAGACACAGATGACGTCTTATCAGTTTTGAATGCTTTCTTGTTTTTCTCCCTTCGACGTGAACACCCATCTTGAGCACCACCATCTGTGCCCGAGCCTTCGGGAACATGAAATTTATCATTGGCGCTGACATTCCCAGATTGTGAGACTTTCTTCCCCCTCGTGCCACATTCAGCAATTTGCATTCCAGCAGTGAGAGCGGATTGCAGTGTTCCTTGCCTAGACTCCCCGTGCTTGTGTGTCCTAAGAATGTCCGTCAGCACGTCATTCGCAGTGCCTATCGGCACGAAGGGTGTCGACAACTCCAAATCTTTGTTCACCTTCACTTTAAAGCTCGCGACTTTGTAGCATGGTGTTTTCTTCACGAACTCGATCGGTCCCACCATCGCAACACTCTTCAGTTTCTTCGACCTATCGAACGGGGGCATCGACGCGGCGTTTATTCCGAAGCTTGCAAACCTCGACAGATGCAGCGACACTTTCTTGTAATTACCAGGCATCTCGATCCCTCCACTGTCGAAGCATATGGTCAAGTGGAAATCGTAGTACCCTTCCTCACCGATGAATTTATCCACGTTGTAACTGTCGCTTCCGCCACAGACGTAAAACTTTCCACCATCGTCCTTGAGGAAAATAACTGCCCCACAACCACGCTGTTTAATCCCGCCGTACCAGTCAATCGCCCATTCCATTCCAAGGAACATTGCTGCTCTACCGACCAACTTCAGGGTGGATGTTTGCGACGACGAAGGAACTCCATCTGATGGCCCTAGTCATTCCCCAATACGGCAAAGGGCTTACACACCAACGGAAACGGAGCAAGAATAAGCACAAGAGAGGCAAAAAGGTCACGAAGAAACGTGCATTACAAACCTTTGCACACAACAAAAACCTCGAGCACAACGAACTTACATTTTGACAGAGCTCCCCTCAAAGAAAAAAGGGAACCGACCCTCGGGCTTCACCAGGAAGCCGGATGATCGGCCATCGGGCTTCACCAGGACGCTGAAGGATGAGAGAAGGTGCACGTAGAGAGAAAGAGAGAGCGAGAGAGAGGGAGAGAGAGAGAGAGAGAGAGAGAGAGAGAGAGAGAGAGAGAGAGAGAGAGAGAGAGAGAGAGAGAGAGAGAGAGAGAGAG